AATGTGACAGACGTGCTTCAGGTAGAACTCAGAACAATTAACACTCTATTCTTAGGACAAAAGACGAGGAAAGAAGGAGAGCTCGAGAGAGCTGGGAACTAAATACAGGTCGTGCGCGCTAGCGCCTCGCTAAGCGAGCATGTGACATCCAGCCCTCGTGACCATAACCGTCACAGAAGAGCTGCCAAATTTTTAGACATCAGTAAGATTATACACCATTCATTGGTGTAATATCTCCTCCGTGGTCCTTGACCCGCTAAGATACATTTTCGTGTTTAGCTAGCCCCTGATTCAAACGCGTCTCTTTTTATATAGAGATTTATAAGGATCTTACGGTCAGAGTTTTAATTCTAACGTAGTACTATATATTAATAAGACATACCCAAGTTTATACACGTTTCCCTTAACTTTTAGAAGAGTTATATCTAATACTAAATAAAATATTTTAATAGGGTATACCAAAAACTACTTTACAGACTCCTAATTAGGCCAAATACATTCCTTTAGGGACAAGGACCACGGAGGAGATAGTAGACAGGTCATTAAGGAATATAGGACTTTTTAATTCGTAAGGTATTATTCTAGGATCTCTGGAGCTTTCAGCTTCCCGCACTGTCTGTCTGCAAATAGGCATTGAAAAGAATATTTGTCAAACTCCAGGGCTGTAGTATATGGTCACGTGTGTCATTGACACGTGACTTTACATTTCCATTCCCTGGCGGGGTTTCTCGTCTGATTCCAGCATCCTTGGTGCGTTTTCACCCATAATCAGTATATCTGTGCGCGGCGATCTTCAAGAACATCATTCGAAATACTTGATTCATGCTACAAGTGGCTCAAATTCTGCCGCTGCTGCTGCCAGTGAATAAAGCTCAATCGTAGCCCTTTCAAAAATACGTGTCTAATTGCTACATGACGAGACTGCAGAGATACACAAGAGGTTGTTCATTTCCATCCCGCCTGCACATATTTCATAATTGGGCTGCAGTATTGATACTTTTCATCAAGTCTTCAAGACCCATTCTGATCTTGTCTCTCCTTAAAATTCTCCACCGGGTTCGTATATCTTAGGTGTAGCTTCCAATGCAGCGAACAGTGGTTGGAATTCTGCGTCACCCCAATCCGGACTTATGCTGTCTACTAAGGCTGTAAATTGTGATGTCATGGGCATGTTTTCCCCCAACGTAGGCTGGTCCTCGTCTGAGGTTCTTTCAGCTACTTGGTTCTGTCCAGGAGGGTTCTGTAGAGGGAATGAAGCTCCAGCTTGAGACACTTCTTGGCCTTGAACCTGGGTAGGATTGGCAAATGTTTCATCGCTAGCTGTAGCTCCTAGTATCGGGAGGCCCTGGGAAAGGTCTTGGTTGACATGAGCCACTGGGCCGGCAGGTTCGTTTTGAAGCGAGTCCCCTGCTTGCCCCTCTTCTCTCTCGTTGCCTACCACCCATTGAAATAGATTTGGCTTTATATTTTTGAGATCCCGATACTGACTTCCAATCATAGACATGGTATAGGTTCTGAGCTTTCTTGTGACCTTTTCCCGTTGGCGTCGGTCCATTTCTGAATTCATAGATGCGGCAGCCATTGCCCATGTGTACTTTTTGTCAAGCTCCCTTTTTCTGGCTTCTTGTGCCAGAAGCACATGCTCTTCAGTCGTCCACTGCTCTGCTTTTGCGCTCATTGAGGCTACTGATAAACTTTCCACACCTGGCTTCTGGTCTTTGCATTCCAGTTTCCACTTATGTAAAATAATCCTGCTCTTCGTCGTACAAGGACCAAGTAACTTGAAGATAGTTGCTACCGACAGCTAGGCCTTCCAAAGTTGTCTTATATACCCAATTAAAAGTACATCACATGCCTTGATTAAGCAAACGTCGGTCATAGGTATAGTACATGTGGCACCTTGAAGTCTAAGTGGAAACTTTTATCAGCTTGCAGAAATTGTTATATGGATGCACAAGCCAATCTCTACGAGACTCCTGCCACTTCTCATGTGATTAACGGACTTCAAATGACCATACCATATTGACAGAGTATGTGTGTTCTAATGACACTTGGTAATAATACTACCTAAATGAGCAATCAGCCAAACCTCAGGTAAATACTTAAATCAGAGAAAAAAAGCATATCAGTATTATGTCTATGGTATAGATGACTTAGTTATATTAGGCTTTTGCTTCAGAAAGAAATTCTTGAAACGATGTATATTAACAAACTGAAACTCATCAACGCAACATTACACCAGTATATCCTCAGTGGTACAGTTAACACAAGGCTAAAACGTTATAGTTTGGATGAGGTTGCAAGCACCCCTTTCAGTTATTCAGTTATTTTCGGTTAAGCTCCTGAATCGGTTAACATCTTCCAAATACCAAAAACTACAAACTTGACCATACTGATTGAAGTCTTCCCTAGATTAGGTACGTTTAATGTTTAATGTAACAATAGTAAGATGGATGCATTTTGTACGGTAGTTTTGGCTTCGCCTTATCGTTGTTGGTGTTCGTATCCTTACGCGACATCTAATTGGTCCGCTTAGAGCAGCCAGCCTCTAGAGAGAACTATTTACTTGCATCGCAACTGCGATTTAAACTTCTCCTCTAAGCTCGCACACAATCTACTTCTGTCCTGCCTGCTTTTTCGCTCTGCCTTCCCTCGTCGCAAACGCACCACCACTACTACTACTACTTCTTCCACTACCACTACCAACAATGGCAAATCAAGTCCCAGTCAAATGGACCGCCGAGGAGGTCGAGGTCCTCAACCTTCTCGTTGGAATCATCTTCAACGACGACTACCTTCGCCCTACGGCGTGGTGTGGAGTGGCCGAAGGGGTCACAAACGAGATGTTGAGCCGCTACCCCAACCAAGAGCATCGGCTTTATACCCCTTTATCCTGCCAGCTCAAGTACGACAAGTTGATCCAAGGTATCGATGACGATGAGGATGAGGATGATGATACGGTCGTGGCGCGACCACAAACCCCTTACCAACACCACCACAAACAACCTCGAGCCGTCCTTGGTGACGTTCAACCGGACGACCCACGCTACATCCCACTCGGCGCCCACCCCGATCTCCACGAGACGCACGGTGATGAACAACTCGGTGCTTTTCCTGCCAATCNCCTTGGTGACGTTCAACCGGACGACCCACGCTACATCCCACTCGGCGCCCACCCCGATCTCCACGAGACGCACGGTGATGAACAACTCGGTGCTTTTCCTGCCAATCAAGGACTCTCGGGAGCCCAGTCGCCGGATGCTGGTGGAGAGGAGGGAATGATGGGCGGTGGGATGATGGCACCTCCATCCGTGTACGGTACCGGTCCTGAGGGCTTCGCTGCCCCTCATATGAATGCTGATGGACGGGAAATACACGGGGGAGGGGGATCTGATGGAAATGGTGATTTTGTTTTGGGTGGAGAGATGGGGGAGGGGGAGGCTGATATTGGAGACCTCGAGCGTTGGTTCTTGGAGCCTGTCACTCCTGGCCCCATCACGAGGAGATGATTGATGAGCTTTTCAATTACTAAGCAGAACCATGGCGGGGGTTTTAACCGGGGTTTTCTTTGGGCTTTCGGCTGGGGGTGGGCTTACTCGGGGTGGTATAGGGGGTGATATTTGCTTGGGATATTCTCTTGGGGGGGGTAGGGGGCGTTGATATAGGACTACCAACAGAATGAACTCTCTGCTCTGTTCCTGTCAACAAACATCTATGAATGATTGAGTGAACATTTCNTTCTCTTGGGGGGGGTAGGGGGCGTTGATATAGGACTACCAACAGAATGAACTCTCTGCTCTGTTCCTGTCAACAAACATCTATGAATGATTGAGTGAACATTTCTAATGAGTGTGGGTAACGTTATATATTCTTCTGGTCGTTGATTCCGTTGTAACACCTAATAATATTACACTATAGGCATTTGGTAACAAAAAGAGAAAGATAATAACGGTTACGCGGTCGTGTGTAATAGATTAATAGAACTGTTTTTTTAATAATTACTTTGAGGATTCTATTATAGTATTATTTTTACAAAACAGCTTTCTACTAAAGCGCACGGAGATTAGTTACAAGAATTATTGTTATTATATAAAGAAATTATTCTAGAACATTTGGTAAAAATAGATAGATATAACAACTTACTTAATTTTATATTATAATATCTTTTACTATTTTATTTAATCTTTTCCTAGAAATTACTATTATAGTAATTATACTAGAGATCTTATATATTATTATTCTTAGCTAGTATTATAGATTCATTTATATACTACTTAGATATAAGTTAATAATCACGTCTTTTACTATAATATAATAATTCTTTTTATGTTTTTAGAGTTTTTATAGGTAGGTATCTAGATAGTAAGCCCTCTATATCTATAGTATCTAGCGGCGTATCTTTATATTGTTTCGATAAAAAATAATATAGAATTAAAGATACTAAGAGTATTAGTATTCCGCCTTATGTAGGAGTTGTAAAAAAGTGTTTCGAGTAGCACTTAAGGGGATACTTCTACCAGAAGAGTAAAGTGAAGCCTCTCGAACTAGCCGTAGACAAGTTCGCCATCTCCCCATCTTCACTATCCTCATCATGATAGGAGTGACGCGAAGCCTTCAAACAAGATCAGCCTAATCAGCTCTTGATCGCAACGCCACAGATTTTGCAACCGTAAGTGAAGCATGAAACCAAGTTTTGTTGCACATCACAACTTTTCGAGGTTTTGCGATCGTGAGCTCATTGGACCAAGTCTCGTTTTACAGCTTCACTTGAGAACATTTGTGGTTTGCGATCGGAAGCTGATTGGACAGAAAGATGACGAAAGCTTTATTCAGCCTTCACTTACAGAAGTAATTTGTGGCGTTGCGATCGGAAGCTGATTGGTTGTAGATATCTTGTAATTCCCTTGCTATTAATGGGCGAGGTGAAGCACGAAGACAGGATGTGTATATCACCAAATGACTGCGAGCCCAAGTGGCCGTGTCTTACGTTCTGGAAACGGCTTTGAACCATTCAGACTCCCATAAATACCCGGAGAACGCATGAAATATTCTATTGTTTTGCCATATCATAATAGCAGCTCTTCTACAATCTCACCATGTTCCAGTAAAAGATATTTCACTACTTATGGATTGCAAGGCCTTTAATTCCCAAGGGACATCCGAATGTGCCCTTTCAGTGGGTATTGCAAGTTTTGGAATCAAATATCCAGTAGTGACATGCGAATCTTGTATCCCTCATAAACATTTCATCGAAACCAGAGACGTGAATGTGCCAAGCCAAGAACCCTCCTATCACTTATCAAAGGTCGGCTCGCTCGCAAAGTACGGAGTATTTGAGCCGATTGATGAACTCTGACATGTAAACCAGATAGTAGCCTCATTTAGAATAGTACTCGGTTTCGTTTTGGTATCATTTGAATTACACTCGTAGACTACCGGTGTGTGAATAGTACTGCCAGGTTGTCCTAAGGTAAGTGCTTTATTCACAGTAGACCTATATTCTCTGTGTATTTTCTTTTTACCTCTACTACTAACTTATTTTACCCTATCTCACGTGAGATAGTTGATAAATCATAAATAACTGCTTGTTTCATCAACCTACAAGAATCATTTGTACTCCACTATACCAACAGAATAGACGGATATCATCTTAGGGTGTACTGGGCCTTTTGGATGACGAGAAGCTAAATTGATAGACTAGGGTCCAAGCTACACTACGTCTACTTGCTGTACGCCCTTGTACTTACACATACACCTTATCCACTCTTGTAGGTATGAGAGTGTAATTCGCATAACACTAAAACAAACTCCAGTATATGGCTCAATCACGCCGGTAGAGCTATTTCTTTGGAAATAGAAAAAGAACTCGCTTCCGATAATGAAGGCACACCAGGGTTTTGATAATTTGCATTGCTCAATTGTATCTACAGATTTCATCCACGATATACACAACATCCGAGATTCCCGCTTTCCAAAAACATTCCTCATAGCAATTGTCGACCCACAGTATAACATCATCTAGCCCTCGCCGGACTCTAATTGTTGGGCGTGCAGACACACTGGCCATTCGCGCACGACAATGTGCTATCTGATGCCCTGCACTACTTCGAGTTAGCTCCGAGAACGACAACAGTATGGAAAGAGAGAGTTACTTTGTCGATGCAATCTTGCCACTGTTGTTGAGTCAACTTTCCGCAAATGTCACGTCGGGGGTCGAGGTTGCCGGCGAGGGCTAGAGCGAAGATTGTGGCTGCGACGAAGAGGATGGAGAAGCGCATTGTGGAAAGTTTTGGACTGTGTGGGTGTTGGGCTGCAGTGTGGTTGTGATGTGTAAATGAGGACTATAGTGGGAGGGGTCGCGAGATTTATACATTTATTCCTGTGACGGAGGGACCGGAGTTGCTGGGATACTCGAGTATTATTAGATGACGTTTAAAGTTGGGGGATACGACGCTTGTATCGAGCATCAATGAGACGGCGAATTACAAGGTTGAGCGGGAATATTACGATAAAGTAAAAATCTAACCTTGATTTAATTTACTTTAATGGCCTTGGATGGTTGTGGGAAAAGTCTGGTAAGTACAGAATCTTGCAATAAGCGAACCTTCTGAGAAAACACAAGAAATCATCGAAGTCCCTTAAGGCCTTTTGTCACATCTGTACGGCGTAAAATATACTCATTTGTAGCACGTTAACAATATGTAGTGTTATCGAGAATTGGAATTACGCCGGTAGTATATTAGGGTTCGAAACGACCAAGGTCTAAGAGGTGCACGTAAAGTCTAAATTGAACTTTAGTTTTGCTGACTCATCTGATGTGAATTAAAATGCTGATCTAGAGACCGAGGAAGGAAAGCTCTTTATATGCGTTTCTAGACGGTCTAGGCTACTGCCCTAAGAACCTACTATAGAAAGTAGGTCACGTTTAATCATGTGACCTACACCTAGGTTCTGCAGTGTACTTGGTTTTTTTATAGACATTTTGCCCCCCTTATAAGGGCCCTGAAAAAGTACTAATCTTAGGTATAAAATATCGATATGGTCACTTTTCAGACGATAAATATCGGAATCGTGGAATTATTTATCGATAAATATCGTCTCCGCGCCCAAGTCTACCTAGCTTAGATAGTCGAAGGATAGGGAGTTGTTGTCCTGGGTCTACTTTCTCTTTTGCTCCACTTCCTTATTTGATCCACTTATAGCTCTGCTGCCTAAATGCTTCATGTCTGCCTAAACCTTACACTCTTTATATAAACACCTTAGATAGCTACCTTTTACAATGCAATCAATTCTCCATGACCTTCAGTACCCAATACCCTTTCAACCCAATAGGAGTTCTATTAACTACCGGAATTTCTGCTGCATCGGAAGATTCATTAGAAAATTAAGAGAGGAACTTCTACAAGTTGAGAGGTCCCAATGAACTGTATTCACTCTACCTCTCTCTGACGTGGTACCTCTCTCTGGCGTGGTGAGGTCAGAGGAGGTAGGTCGGGCAATTGTTGGAACGGGGGAATGTTCTTCTTCCCGACCACCTTTGACTGCCATCAACGTATTGTTTGCTCCCTGTGCCAACACCCCTCTCTTCTCCCGTAGGACTTCACTTTGATCAGGCTTTCGTCGAGAAGAGAAGCCTCACATGAGAAGTTGAGCTCCAGAGCCCGTACCTAGTGGCCCACCATCGAATAATCAAAGATCGCGAAGAGTCCAACACCACCCGCCATGGAGGGTGACTTTGATTTTACGTCTCTTCCAATGGTCGTGATCTCTCCTCCACATCCTCTTCTTCATGAGCTCCATTGCCAGCCAAGATCCACTCGCTGGGGTCCTGATCCAGCTCCACCAGGGTTACTAAAACAAGCCATCCTTTGCAACAAAAGTGGCAATCTCACCATCGACAAATCATCCTCACATACACTAGCACCTCCTGTTCTTCCAATAATACGAACTCCCGCGCCCCCTGGAGTCGAAGGTCGGTGCTATCGTACCAGCAGAGGATACAAGAACACCAAGACTTCCTGCAAATTCAGCTTCGAATCTTTACCACTAGAGATCCGTCTTCGCATCTATCGTCTGATTCTCGTGACTTCAGAATCTGGAATTCGTTACTGTATCTGTAGGCGGTGCGCACATATGTTGATCGACCAGAGTCACATGGGGAGTCACCCTCTTCTCTATAATCAGAGGGACTGGTATACACGATACCAGGACACCGAATCTGGTGAGCTGATACAAACTGCGTGGATAAACTGGCCGAAACATTGGATCTACCCTGCTATACTTGGGTGCAGCCGCTTGATTTATAACGAAGCGATGCCGGTCTGATATGGAGAAAATGCATTCGCTGTGGCGCCGCGGAATTACAACAGCATCGCCTGTCACTCATGGGAGATATCTCGTGTAGCCATGAGGATGATCAAGAGCGCCAGAACTCTCTCATACAGCGAGAACAGGGACCTTATCCACGAGTTGGGGTGGTACGAATCTCGTTTTCCCTCCTTGAAAGAATTGGCAGTCCAAACAGATGTCGAATATCCCGATTGGATAACGTTGATAAATATACTCGAAGCATACTTGCCCAGTTTTAAACTGCACAAATTTTCCATCATGCGCCTAATCGAATTTGAACCAGACTGGAATGAATCAAAATGGAAGTTCTATTACCAGGATTTCCATTCCAGTTACGATGATCGCCCTGGAGTAGGGGAATGGGATTCTCATACAAATATATACTGGACCACATCCGGTAATTCAGACACCATACTTTTCGTCAGGGAGGACTATATTCCTCCAAGACCAAAACATTCACCTAAGACGGGCTACTTGTATGTCATGCCATCATATCCCGAAGATGGGCTTGATGGCGTGGTGAGGGTAACCATCACAACCTCTGAAAAGAGTGTGATGAACTGTTCTACTCTGCTGCGGGATGCATGCAAATATGCGATACCATTTGACGGCGAGGTATATGAGGAGAAAACACCTTCGACAGCAATAAGCGGGTTCAAAAAACTCTTCAACCTCCCAGAGTAGAATCTATACCTCTCATAGTCCCAAGAAACTGCCACACATATCTGCAGCTTTCTCTATCTTCATAGCCCTAATCCAATCCTCAGAGATTTCGGGATGTAGCACGCGCTTTTAGACTACAAACGGTCTATTCCAAAGTATGGAGTCACCCCTTCCTGACGATATAGTTACAACGTTTACCTGGGCGATAAGGGGGAGTACAGATCTCAACTCTCCCTACCAATTCCCCTATAACAAGCTCGTCCAGCCAACCAGCCTGCGTTTTTAAGCATTTAAGCCTTGATTCAACCCAATCATAGCATCCACTTTCTTACACAGGTAAAGGGTATAACTTCATCGTCGGGAAGGGATATTTTCTGTCACACACCCCAAATACACCACCATCCCATTTTCTAATACTTATTATTCTTCTTCCCATCTCCCCCCTCGTGCCATCAAGAACTCATCAGCAGTCCAAGTATCCAGTTCATAAAACCCGTACAATATCCCCCTACCAACCAAGCACTCCCTCCCTAAATTCCCCCCGATCCTCATTCCAAACATTCACTTCTCCATCCCTACAACCGAAGGTATACACCATTCTAAAACTCCTACTCTGAAGCTATACCCACCACTTCCCCTTCTCCACTCCCCCTCATCGAAAAAAAATAAGCGCAGCTTCCATCCTAAAATTCCAAACCAAATCACTCCACATTTTCACTCTTCCTTTTCAGTTCAGGCCCGAATTTGGAAACCATGAGAGAGACATCCTTATTTATTGAAGTCCCATCTAAAATAAAGCTGTAATCTTACCAATTATCACAACCTCGAAAAGCCATCCACTCAATCCGTCGAGCCCCTTATCCCACCTCTCACCCCCTGTACCCCCGCTCTTCCTCTTCCTATTCCCCTCCTCTTCCTTCACTAATATTATTAATAATATCACCATCCCAAAGGAAGAGCTTCCTTTCACCCCACCTTTCCATCCCCACGTATCACGGAAGGAAAGGAGCTCTCTGAATGAATACAATCTTATTTCATACCAGTACAATAGACATCAACCAACTAACCACCAACCACCAACCACCTATCTCCCAAGCTACCCACGCCAACTCCAACTCCCTATTCCCGATGTCTCTCATTCCATTTCATCTCACTTCTGTCCCCTCCTTTTACATAGCATCAGATATACCAATTTCCTTTCCACCAAACCAATCCAAAACAATCCCTCCATCCCATCATACTCTACTCTCCACTAATCCGCCTAATAACCCTCTCCATTTCCTGTTCCCCCTTCAATTACCAAAAAGCATCACACTATTGATCGAAAATCCATAGATAATAACTAACCCAAAGCGAGGTCTTGCTCACCTGGTGAGTGTTAAGATAGTAGGGGTCGAGGATCAAGGTCATCGATCCGATCTATTGTTTCGGTAATCACTTCTGGTAAGTCCTGATACTTCACACATAATACTTCACACTTAATACTTCACACCTAACAAGAAAAAACCTACCAAACCACCAATGAAACATAAATATAAAAAGAAGAAGCAAAGCCAACGGACGGGGCAAAGTAAGTAAACAAGTAAACAAAAAACCCACATTGTAAAATGCAGGAAAATTGGTGGAGGGATATTTCTATAGGTGAGACAGGAGGGAAGAGTAGAGATAAGAGAAAGGAAAGGAAAGGAAAGGAAAGGAAAGAGAGAAAGAAGGGTGAGGTATGATGAATGATAAATATGTATATAGTAACAGCAATGGATTTATACGAGGGAGCGGGCGGGGAATTTATGGAGTTCTGAGAAGTTTCTTGGTCCTGGGTGTATACAGAGAGAAGAAAAAAATGGACATCAGGTGCGCTTGAGGAATTGGTGTCATAATTTATATCTCCTATGTTCAAATCCTGCTCCAACCATGAAAATCATCCGGTGGGTATATTGAATACTTTCCCATCCTACGCTATGCAATGCTACGCCACCCGTCCACCAACCTCCTCCAAACACAAATCATTCACAACCATATACCGACTCAACCCAATCCACCCCCACCGAAACCAGCGCATCTGACTCCGATGCGCCTCCGTCATCGCCCTCTGCGCACGCCTCAAACTCCCCCACCCACTCATAAACAACAACCTCTTAGGGCGTTCTCCACCCTTCTTCCCCCCCGCCATAACCGCCACACTCGTCAACCCATCGAGGAAAGAGATATACTTCCGCACCACCGAGACGGAAGAGAGGGTATATAGATCAACGGGACAGCGCCAGCCGGGCCGGTTGTGGATTAAGGCGCTGATGAAGTGGCGCGCGCCGTGGTAGAGGGAGATGTGGTTTGGGTGTGAGGACACGCCCGAGGCGTCGAAGGTTATGAGGATGTCGATTGTGGCGGTGGGCGCGGTGGGGGATTTGGATTTTAAGGGGGCGGTGAGGTTTGGTGCGAAGGCGGAGGTGAGGAGGGTGGAGATTTGGGGGGTGGGCCAGGGGGTGGTCATGCTGTCGGGGAAGTCGCTGGGTGGTGTTAGGAGGTTGTATGTATGTGGTTGGTGGGGGAGGGGAGGTGAATATTGGGATTGATGTAGATATTGGGATGTATGGATGGGGTATAGGAAGACTTACGGGCTCTCTACGACGAAGACATCATCCTCATTCCGCAATCCCAATGCCATTCCACTCTTGACCAATTCCTTCTTCCTGACTTCCCCCAATCCATCCGCATCACCTATTCACCCATTAGTCCAGAACCTCGCATACAACCTCACATTCAACCCCAACCCCAGCACCTCCAATGGCACCAATTGGCAGAAAAGAAACAAGATAGGACAGCACATACCACTACTCAAACAAAGTATCTTCACATGATTCCCCAACTCCGGTTCCGTCAACGCCAAAACCGTGGGCGCAAAGAACATCGCCTCATCATCAGGATGCGCGATAAAGAGACAGATGCGCTTATTGCGTAACTTGGGGAAGCGCTGCCGCGCCACCGCGACGGTGTACAGCCAGCATACAACTGCGAGAGTGGGGATGACGAGGAAGGAAAACCATTGCATGATTGTTGGGTTTCGTTCCTCGGTCTCTCCCTCTTGTCGTGTATATGGGAATGGTGTGGTGTTGTGGCAGCTTTTGTGGGGAGAGGGACGGGAGGACGGGTACGAGTACGTCAAGAGATAAGCTTAAAAAGGGGCTTGCTGCTGCGACGAAACCGAGGACAAATAGGAGGGAACGGTGGGCTGATGGCGGTTGAAGACACGCTGGCGAATGGTGGATGTGGTACCGAAGAGGGGGTGTGTAGTGGGGGCTTCAGTACTTCCAGGGTACACCGCAGTGCATTGCAGCGGGAGCTTGGGCTTGGTCGTGTGCGTGTGCGTGTGCTTGACCCTTGTCAACTTCCCCATCAAATCACTTCCCGTGATGACGGATAACCTCATTTTCTGCCATACCCAGTGCGACGCAATTGGTTGGAAGTGACGAAGATATCTGGCCTTTCATCTGCGAGACTTTGATTTCTGACAAGGCTGACAAGGCCGACAAGGCCACGGACTCAACGACGAGGCTTAGAATAATTCCACCACATCCTCCCAACATCATCAACCTCATCCGATTCCCGGACAGAGCTTCACCTTCAGCTCCACCACCACAATGGCCAAAAAATCCCCCCCCTCCACCACGAAATCTCCCAAAATCCCCCTCGCACAACCCGACCGCTCCGCTCCCCAAAAAGCAAACACACTCATCGACCTCGCACGACAATCCGGGATCCTCGACGCCGCACAGAAAGCCCAAGATGAAGAGCCACTCGTCGGTCGAGTGGGCGATTCCATCCTCTGGTCGTTGAGTCTGACCATGTTACATTTCACGCTCGATGTCTTGGTCGCGAACCAGTTTTCCGACGAGATGGAGTGGAGGAGTTTGGTGGTGAGGACGGCGCAGGCGTTTCCTAGTATTTCTCTCTTTCCTCTTCCACCAATCCCTCCCATTCCCTTCGATCCCATTCTTAATAAAATATTATATACATACTAACTCAATCTCCAGTAATCCTCCTCTTCTTCTACTTCCTCCACCCCCACCCCACCCCACCCATCCTCCTCCCAAGACTACCCCAGAAACTCCAAAAACCCCTCCATCAAGCCTTCTTCTTCGTCAGCAGTGTCGCAGCGGGGTGCTACTTGATTCACAGCACCAACACGGATGCGTATTATGCGGTGATGAAGAGGAGTCCGCCGTTGGGCGTGTTGTGGATCTGGAGTGTGATTGAGATGGATGTTGTGCCTGCGACGGTGAGTTTGTTGGTTTGTGGGGGGTTTTTGAAGGGGGGTGGGTATGTGATGTTTTAGTTGGGAGGGGGGAGGGGAGATGGCGGGATGGTGAGTTGGTGGGGTGGTTTTTGGGATTTGCGGAAGAGTGTTGGATTTGAGGGGGTGGGAAGTCTATGTCCTCTTACATATGATACTAGTATACCTGGTCCTGGTGTCCGATCCCTCTCCGTCGTTCATAAAAGCACTCAAATGTATCTTAACAGCATCNGGGGAGATGGCGGGATGGTGAGTTGGTGGGGTGGTTTTTGGGATTTGCGGAAGAGTGTTGGATTTGAGGGGGTGGGAAGTCTATGTCCTCTTACATATGATACTAGTATACCTGGTCCTGGTGTCCGATCCCTCTCCGTCGTTCATAAAAGCACTCAAATGTATCTTAACAGCATCCATCATATAAATATCACAAAAACCATCTCCCAACTACACCCAAATAAGTATACATAAAACCATCCATCCACCCCACCGAATTCAAAAACCCCAAACTCCACAGTCCAACATTCCCATCTCATCTCCTACTTTCCAATGACCTAAAACCCCGACATGTCCCCTTCCAACCCCTTCCCTTTTCCATGCCTCTACGCCTATTTGATAAGCCAATTCCGGTCCCTTACCTCCTAACTCATATGCGAGGTGGAACAAGTGAATAAATAAATGGCAAACGACTAAATTTTCGAGAGAGAAAGGAGGAAGAGAGGGAGGGGGTTTTCTTGAAAGAATAGATATAGGAGGTTTATTTAGAGATTTTACTTGATTTGGCGAATTAGTGGTTTGGGTTATTATGTAACCCTGGAGAAGATGGGATATAATACATACAGTACAAACCCAGGCGCTGTGGTTCCGGAAAAGGTGTATTTTCAGATGCACGAACGGGGCTGTTTGCTTGACACTCTTAACCGCTCTGAGATCCGATATTAGGTAGTAGGTAATAAACGTAGAGTGCCTCGCTAGTAAGGAATAAACCACAAGTAGAGCTACTCAAACGCATCCCAGCTCTCTACCTACGTCCTCAATCCCAACCCACAAACTCAGTTGAGAATCAAAGCAAAACGAAATCCGAATATGTAATTGAAATTATTCGATTTAATAAGATGGAAACTAGGGTATGTCTAGTCGAGACGGGAGAAACTTTGTTTGAGTTCGTCTCATGTTTGCATAGGGGTGGTAATTGGATGACGTGCGTATGAGATTGGGGTTCCGTTTGGGAGACATTACCAGATGTCTGGTTAATCTGTTTGAACACTTGGGGATTTGAGGATGTGGTCTTTTGAAGAGATGTATTGGCGTAGAAGTGCGCCGGTTACACAACTGTGAAGGGGAGGATTCTGTGGGCACATGTTGTATTGCAGCTCCGAAGGGAAGTAGATTTCGCCATCTCGTAATGTTTCTGGGAGGACGAATATGAGCTAAAACACATGACCCAAGTGTGGTCCGATGTATAGAATTCGCTCAAGGCGTAAACTCTCCTCCTCATCGCAACCAAGCCGTTGGTCGTTAAGCGAAAGATCTAGTGTAGTTTCGCCCGAAACTCTCACGACTCAGCTATTTCCACATCGAAACAGGTACATGAAGCGTTCCCAGGAACTACCCTGGTAGCCGAATTAGGCCTAAACAACACCAAAATACATATTTTGAATAAGCCCTTGTGAAAAAAATAAACACCCTCGAGACCCTCTCCAACACCCGTTGGAATTCACCCAAAATGAGAGGGACAATGAGATTACCGAGTTGGAAAAGAGGGAAGAAGGAAAAAAAGCCCTCAAGATCCAGGTTCTTGGGTGTGGACCAAGTAGGCATTTTTGGTGATGGGAAGGCTGAGGTACCGCATGTAACACTCAGAGGTCTAATCCAGATGATTAGACCAGCGATTGGATTGCTTTCGAGGGCGCCGAGTTTAGGGAGTGGGTCAGGTCCATATCGAGTTACTTGCTCGAAGATAAGGTCGCTTCCCTCACACACCATATACCAACCAGATCCCTCGACGATCCCGATTAATTCGACTATCCCGGTGATACTGTGGGGAAATGGGGCATGTGCCGGATGGGGTGGTTGTTTCTCCAAATTCCTCATCGAGGTCGCGTCACATGGGTATTTCATCATTGCCAATGGGATTCCGCAGTTCAAAGGCTTGTTCAGACAGACGAGCTGGACGGATATGATGGAGGCTATGGATTGGGTGACTGAGAATTGCGGGGAAGGAGGGTACAGACATATTGATAAGTCGAAGATAGCTGTTGCTGGACAGGCGGGTGGCGCAATACAAGCGTATACTGCTAGTTTGGATGAAAGAGTAAAGCTTACTTGTATCTTCAACGGTGGTCTGTTAGTTCCTCAAAACGTTCAGCTTTTTGAAAGGTTTCATGCTCCAGTCGCGTATTTTCTTGGTGGTCCAACGGATATGGCTTTCAAGAATGTATGTTCTCTCGAATCTTGACCGATTTGTCAGTTTGCTAATAAGTTGAGTAGGGAGAACGAGACTACGCAAAACTCCCATCAAGAATACCTGCCGTAAAGCTCAATCTCCCGGTTGGTCATATGGGCACTTTTGGCAGGGCACAAGGCGGGAAATTTGGGAAAGCAGCTATTGCTTTTCTTGAATGGCAGATGAAAGGCGATACCATCGCAGCAAACCAATTCACAGCACCAAGCACTTCGCCATTAACAGCAGAAGGCTGGGATATTGTATCAAAACATTGGGAAATGAATGAGAGAAGGGCAGGACGGAGAAGTATTGATGTTGCAACAAGCATGGTACAGTAGCGGAGAGCAATAATGTTGAGAATCGGAGACGGAAGAAAATGGGGTTCGGCGTTAGGGGTTATCGTGTTCTGCACTAATACGGAATAGGGGATTTGGCCGCCCCTTGTACAACAAGCCACTTTCTTCAGCAAACAGAGTTTCTTCAACACCAAGCTCAAAGCTTGAAAAGACTTCGGAAATAATAATGTTCGATTTGTATGACTTCAAATTCTGATATTTCTTACAATTGATTTCTTGGAGGTTTTAAATTCATTCTTTCATTGTTCAAATGATCACCTGCAGAATGATTTACCGTACCATCTCCCGCAACTCCAATGGCTGGCTTGTCAACGCTACCCCAGGAATGGTCAAGCGGGGTAGTCAGGACCCGATTTTAATGGGACACTTTGTCACTTGCGGTGTAGTTCACCAAACTCCATATTACTGCACGGTACCTAATAACTTCTTAAACTCATTTTTTTGTCTTGATTGTTCCTCCTTCTTTTCAGGGCAAAAATGGCGGCTGAAAAGATTGCTGTTTCCGATATGGAGAAGGCTGCAGCCGATGAGGTTAGTCATTCAACCTAACCCCCATATTACGTGCTAATTTTGTCAGAATATTTTCTCAAGATCCGATAGCGCGGCTTCTGTAGAAGAAGATGCCGCTAAGAATAAAGCGTTAGTGTGGAAACAAGACTTGCGGATCGTCCCGTTGTCGGCTGGAATTTATTTACTATGCTACCTCGACCGTTCGAATATCGGTATGTCTTCCGAATAAGATTTTGAATTGTCCATTAATATAGGTTTATATTTATGGTATTTCTTACACTTGTCTTCATGTTGACTTTAGCCGTGTCTACTTCAGGAAATGCAAAGACTTTGAATTCCTCCACTCACAATGATCTGCTTTCGGATACTCACATGACTAATTACGAATATGTGTAACTCTCTTCCTTTCTCTTGGAGAGATGTGAAACCAGCTAATATTATCGCAGTATTGCACTTATGGTCTTCCTAATCGCCTATGCAACATTTGAAGTCCCATCGAATTACTTTTTGAAAAAGCTCAGTCCAAGTAAATGGATAGCATTCCTCATGTTCTCCTGGGGCGCCGTAACCATCGGCCTAGGAGGAGCAAAGAACTTTGCAGGGATAACAGCTATGAGATTCATTTTGGGCATGTTCGAAGCAGGTATACAAATCAGCAATCTATTTCTCAATTTCTGCTAACACTACCCCTAGGTCTCTTCCCAGGCCTCGTTTACTACCTAACATTCTGGTACCGCATATCCGAGCGTTCAATCCGCGTAGCATTCATCCTCGCATCTGCAACTCTCGCTGGAGCATTCGGTGGTGCAATCGCCTACGGAGTTGGGCATATGAATGGCACCCACGGCCTTTCAGCCTGGCGTTGGCTTTTTATCCTTGAAGGAATTCCCTCTTGTGTTTCTTCTGTTTTCGTTTACTTCTATTTACCCGATTATCCCGAGACGGTGAATTGGTTGAGTGATGATGAGAAGGTCTTAGCGAAGACTAGACTGCTTACTGAGGGGAGTCATGGTGATGGGGCGAATTTGACTTGGGTGCAAGCGAAGGAGACTTTGACGGATTGGAGGTTGTATGCTCATTATGCTGCAAGTGCTTCGTTTTTCTCTTGGATTTGTGTGGGTAGCTGACTTTTTTTCTTAGATTTACTTTGGCATTTCAGTCCCGTTCTCCAGTCTTTCGCTCTTCACGCCAAGTCTTACAGCCGGACTGGGATTTCATGATCTCACAGCGCAACTCATGACAGTTCCTCCATATGCTGTTGCATGTATGTGTTTCCCAATCAAAATTGTGTCCACTTGCTAATTTCCTTCAGATATCGTCACAATTCTAGTCTCCTACTCAGCAGATCATATTAACGCGTAAGTCATATTCCCCTTATTTCCGTGAGTGTCAATCCCACTAACAAACCCTAGCCGCGCCCTCCACTCCGCTCTCTTCGCAACAATAGGAGCAGCAGGCTTCATGGCATCAGCTCTCCTCCCCGCCCACGCATACTCAGTTCGTCCATCCCCCCCTCTTTCCCCTGCACACCCATCCATCATACTAACACCCCACAGTCCCGCTACGGCTGCCTCATAGTAGCAGCCGCCGGCTCCTTCTCCTGCATCCCCCCTCTCCTCGGCTTCCTCTCATCCAACCTCTTCACCACCGCCTCCGCCGGCCTCGCCATCGCCCTGAATATCTCCTTCGGTGCCCCAGGTCAGATCGCTGGGGTGTGGATATATAAAGCTGAGGAGGCGGGACGGGGATATCCTACTGGTCACGTATGTTCCTATTACTTCTATTCCTTTTCTTGTGTTGTTCTATGTGTTTGTGTGGGGTTGTGGGGTTGTGGGAATGGTGTATATGGGGGATAGCGAGGTGTTGAGGTACAGGGGAAATATGCTGACTTTGGATAGTGGGTTAATGCTGGATTGCTATTTTTCGTTGCGGTTGGGTGTGTGGGGCTAAGAGGGTATTATGGGGTTTGGAATGGGAGGTTAGTGAGGAATGGTGGGGAGGTGGAGGGAAGGAGGTTATTTAGATATTGAGATTGGGATAACTTTCTGTAATAAGGCGACCCTGACTGAGTGGAAGCTACTAAAGTACTAGGCACTCACCTAGGCAGCAGAGAGAGGAGTCTCGGCCCACATGTCGTAACAACATTGGCACTTTTGACTTAATCAGCATTAAGTGTTGTGAATGGATTGATCTGTTATTATGTACAATATGTGATTCTTAGGGAAAAAGGCAACTCCGATAAAACACAGCATCAGATACATTATTAGTCATACAGAGCAATCCGTAACTCGGCAAGTAAAAGAAAGAGTTTAGAGCTTCGCAGCTCTACAAGGAAAGCTTGGAAATGACAATGAAGACAGCGATAAATCCCTTCCTGGTAGTACAAAGCAATCTATAGCTCGGCACGTAAAAGAAAAGAGATTCGAGCTTTGCAGCTCTCCATTGACAATCGACTCTTTATGAGGATGAAGAAAATGAACCAACCCTGAATAGGATAGGCGGTAAATTGACTTTTAATGAGGCATGTCCACAATGTTAATATCACCCTCGTATGCTGGTTGGCCATCTTCGTATGGAGACAGGCGGTATCTCAACGCGTACTCGAGGTCTTTGACGAACGTCGGATCATTTAAACCAAGAGGAGTCTGGTTGAACACTGGTTTATATGCCTTCGTGCAATATTTGCCGTACACTGGTAAGCCACCCAACCATCTAAAGGTACTATTTTTCTTGAAGGTGGTAATGCCTTGCATCTTTGGTGAAGACCATGGCATGCGTTAAAAGTCCAATATGCTCTGGTCGGGATACAACGGCCAATGGGTCATACTTGGTAATGGATTTCCAGATGGTGGATTGAAAACCGTCCATAAATTTGTATCTGATCCGGATGGGGACTATGACGGAGTTGGTTGCGTAGGAATCGGTGTTGGTGTGGATTGGAATGGGGATTGAAATACTAGAATTGGAGGACGTGTTGAGGGTTCAAGGCTTGGTCGAGGAGAATCTGGGATATTTTCATCCGAAGGGATGATTTGTGTTTGGTTGGCTTCTTCCTCGTCAGTAGTAGTAGCCGCACTAGCAGTCTCCTCCTCGGCATGTTCTCCTTGTCGTACTTCCAACAACCAGTCGTTCTTCACTTGCGATGCATCGTTCTTGCTTCGGCGTGTATTTGGAACCACACTTTCGTATACGGCTACGGTTGAAAGGCCAGACTCCGGATGATCGGTCACCTGCCAACTATTAGGATTACGAACTCTCTAAAGGAAGAAAACGACATACGTATTGGTCCCAAGCAACGATCAAAGCTTGAAGATTACCACTGGTCGCATTCTGGTCTTTCTTTGAAGTAGTTTGCTGGCCTCGCAGCAATTTTGCTGCATCGACCGCTGCGTTGATCTCTCGGATAAATCCATAGTACTCTTCGGGTGCGCCTACCGACTCGTCCGCAACAAAGTGGTTTACAACGAAGCGCTCCAGGTCTGTCGTTTGCTGGTTACAGCGCATCTTCCGATAATAAACAGCAATTAGAATGATCCATTTCAAGAAGTCTTCATTTGGTGGGTGGAAAATTGGGCAACTCAAGAGGGCGGCCAAGGCAACAAAGAATCCTGTGCTGCGTGCGATAACTGTTGGTCCAACGGGAAGGGGGAGAAGTTAGATTGGGCTTGCTCCTGCATACAAATCATGTGCTCTATTGTAGGCGGCAATCTCGATTGCTGGTGTTTCTAGTACGAATGTTTGGTCTTCCTCAGAGAGAAGTTGACTTGGCTTGAAGGCGGGCAACTTCTTTCGGCCGCGTCTCTTTGCTGGGGGCGGTGGCGAGCGGGAGGTTGCTCTCCTGCTTGGGTTGGGCGGAATGGAGGACATCGCGGTTGTTTGATCAAGTTGAGCGTGGGTTTGTGTAAAGAGGTCACGATATAAGTGCGTATGTGGATGAGGAGTCACTGGGTAGGATAAAAGTGATAATAATAAGTGTCTGTAAATAACAATAGTATTCGACTTAAAGACAGAAGACTAAGTATAAAATAGTATAGCTATATATACTACTAGCGTATAGTACTAGAAGCTTCTATAGTTACTATATTAGTATTAGTATCGATTATTATTAATGTAACTCGAAGATACCAGAATAAGCTTATAAATCAAGCTTACAAATCAAGTACTAAAATATTCCTTTAGGCTAAAGTTTAAACTAAAAGCCTAAACCTTAAAGTACTTATTACCTAAATCCGATAACTAACTTTAACAGTTTGGATGTTGCGTGGTTGAATAGAGGAGAGTGTGGGATGTTTTGAGGAGGCAGTTTCTTGGCGCGTCCACCGAGGCTACCTACACTCTCCAGAGTCCAGAACCAACTGCTCCTTGTATATGGTATTTTGTTATGGGGAATTAGAACTCTACACCATGACTTGAATAGGATTTTATGTATATCATAGGGGAAATGGTGATAGATATATAACCAGCAAAGAAGCATTTGTCATATGACATCTATAACTATAATATTATGATAATATCCTTACATCAGAGTAATTCCATGCAAGGTACCACACATAGTTAGATCTGATACCATTCCATTCCATGAAACTGATCTTGTAGCCAAAACGAACTACAATACCAACGATTTCAACCAAAACACAAAATATCACATTGGTTTACCTGGGTATTTCTGAAACAGAGCAGAGGATTCAATCGTTACAATACGTGCACGATACTACTCTTACTTCTACTGATAGCAAATATCGATGGACAGGTAAAGTTTACAGGGCTGTAAGACTAACTCTAACAGAATTCTGGACAAAATCGTAAACCACAACATAACTAATTTACTTTACTTTAACCATGTATCTAGTTAGGAGGGGTGTGGGGAGGATTTATTTTAACATACGCCTTCCTACGAAAGGGATAGCCTTCTTATTGTACTAGGCATTAATGTATGTTTTTTCTTACGGGCAGGATTATTTCGAATATTACATATCATCTCTTCGCCACCTTGTAAGAAAATGAATTCGACTCTATATCAGGGGAAAAAGCGACTCCGAAAAAGGATCTGAAAAGAAAAAGCTTATGGTAACTCCCAGTCCCCCCTCAGGAAAATAGATCACAGGCTTCACAGCCCTTTCAAAAAAAAGCTTTTGGACTTTGCAGTCCTAAGCTTCCTCATCCTCCACAACCACAACCACAACCTCATCCATATTCTCATCCTCATATACCCCATTGTTGAGATTGGGCTGACAAGTCTCCAGAACCCCTCTAACTCCCCTTATACCCGCCAAATACCGGTCGACTTCAATCGTGGAATTGCTCCCCAGATCCCAACCAACCCTCACTCTAGGCACTTCCGACAAGTGCGGGATCTCAACCTTCTCAGCTACCGGACATTTTTCAGCAAGTTCTTGGGTCTTTTTTAGGTAATCAACCCTCTTCTCTGCAAACAAGATTTCCTGGTCCAATTCACGCTCTTGTCGCTCCAAGTCTCTAGACATCTCTTCGAATTCGTTGTAACCCTTCACCAAATTATCGACAACATCGCGGGCATTGTTTTCGAGTGATTCCAATTGCTTGGATTGGTAGTATTCGCCCATCTCGATGATATCTTGAAACCTTTGAAGGTACTCTCCGGACTTTGATTGATTCTCCATTGCCCATGGGTTTTTCACCCAAACCTCTTCCAATGCAGCTTCAAATCTGTCAATACCATTCTGATCGCTCACTGATTGTACCCCAGCTGGCGCATTGTTGAAGCCGCCATCCTCGAACGCTGCTCCAGTTATCCACGATAGCAACGCCTCGGCACCTTTGAGTTGATGGGGTTCCCAGATCTTGAGAATTGGTGTATATTGGCTGTTTCGAATTCCACATTCATAAGAAGCAGACAGCTTTGGATGAAGCACAGGCTATTAGAGGTTTTGGTTGCACTGAATATGTCATCTAGTGACGATTGTTGTTTTAGATGCTGCCCACAACCAACGTATATTGGCGCTTGGATTTGTTCGATGGTTTGGTCTGCGAATTGGTGTCTCTCCTTTAGTTTGGTGAAAAAAACCTTTCGGTTTTGGAAGTCGAGTAGACGTTTGCCATTTTGTTGTAGATTTTGACTATATACGTCCATGGCTACCTTATTACGAGACAGGGAAGAGAGGCGCATGGCCATGTCGATGCCGATCACCACTTCAATGGCCTTTGCGTCCATAGTTGGTTCGGAATTTGGATCATAACTGAAGTATGCCTTGCGAAATTTGGTAATTCGGGCCCAATCACGTCCGGTCAGGCCAAGGCTTTGTCCAGTGGAATCCTTTTTGATGATGGAAACCACGTACACTCCGGCAGTTGTTTTCTTCGTGGAGGAGTTGTTTGATTTCGGGGTCGTGGGTATAATCGTATGCGATGGTATTTAGAATTAGAGATTTGAGAATCTTTCTTGGTATGGTATGGAGGAGGTCCAGCATAGAACACTTCCCTTGGCAATCATCAATTATCATTCTCGGGGACCCTTGGGCGAGTTTTGGTGGAGCGGGGGAGTCGGATTCGGATTCCATCTCATCGCCATCTTCTTCGTCTCCGATATCATCATCCTCTCCTTCGGGTGATCCAATACCAAGATACCCAAGCGCGTGCCGGTGGATGATCTCCATCAATCTGTCACAATTTAGTCGTGGCCACCGAGCAGAAGGGACAAACCCACTCAACGTAAGAGAGATCTTGTTCCAATACAGCATCGAGCTCCTTCATCATATCAGAAACCACTGGTATTCTTTCGGACTTTTCCATGGTCGGCATTGTTGCGATGGGATTTGTTTGGTGGTGTTGAATTTTCAAGAATCAAAGGCACAAACATTGGGGGGCAAAAAGTGATTTGCCGCGAAACAGGAAGGAGCATTCCACCATCCACCTCAACTACCCCAACGGAAGATTTTATCGCGCATTACACAGAATCCTCATGTCAACTCACAGCATGTGTTTCCTGATTTGGAAATTATAATATAGTCCAAAGTTAACTACACTCAGTAGCACTGGAGGCTGAATATCTTAAGCTTCCCGAAGGCATTACTCCTACTGCCCTTCAAATCATCTTAACTAAAAACTTAAGAAACTCATCCCTCTTTCTGCCGGACTCTGCTTTGGTAGCATCCATCCATTCACTTGAACGAGGCGGCCTTCCAGCATGCGTCGCAGTATGGAGACCATTCCGTCAGGCATTGATCAATAACATACTGTCCAGCACCAAGTTCAACCAAGACAAATATCAAACAACCTGCCCAACAGCTGTATTTCTCCCGTTCAGGGCCTATTCCTCGAAACGGAACTTGCTCGACTTTTTCTTCCTCGGCTTCTTCCTTCAATGGGACTGACTCGATGACCCAGAGCCTTCTTGTTCCTCTCATGAACTCCCATTGCGAACAATGCAAAATGGTTATTTTTGCAACACTTGATACCAAATCACATGCCAAATCATCAAGTCGAACAATTGGACAACTCATGTGTCACAATAGGGCCATTGGCATGTGGGGACCTTCATTGTTATTTCGGTTTTGTCTAACGGTGGTTTTGAAGTCCAAGTTCTGGAACGTATCGAGACCTGAAACTTGAATGGGGATGCTGTACCCGATATCTTTGATGATACGGTTGCTTGCAGCGTTCATATCTTGTTCGCGTGCGTTGCAGACTTCAGCAATCTGTGCTCTGACCCGACGGATAGAATCAATGTCGTTGGTGTGTATCAATTGTACGTCCTGTAGCGGAATACGCGTCAACTGAGGCTAGCCACCATACTCCAGAACCATCTACTTTTCCGAGAATCTGTAGAAGATTGCATGCCTCAGAGCGCACGACACACCTCTCTACCATTTCTACCATTCTAAAATGCCCGTCCATACAACACTCGAGTATCACGCTAATCACAACGCTGGAAGCGTTGGAAACATGCGATCTTTCACTATAAATAGGGGGGCAAGTCACATGCACTTTTTTTGTTTTTTGAGTGATGAACAAGGACTCGATGTATGGCAAGTCAAGAAGTATCATTGCTATTATTATAAGTCTTTGAAGCCAAACCTTGAATCTTTATACTAATCAACCCTGACAGGAGATTGTCACAAACTCTGGGCCATCCATCTTCAACTCCCCTTCCAACAGCCAACCAGGAACAATCAAAGATTGGTAGTAATACAAAATGTACATCCACTCTACTCAACACTTCAATTTTAACCCTTCATTGCTCGAAAAAGGCGTAATTTCATAGCCATTCTTCCCATACAAGTAAATTTTACATGTAACGGAAGAACCAATATGAAATTCGACTACGAAAAAAAAAGCTTTTACTACCCTTGATATCATTATATAAATGGTAATAAGAACAGAAAGAGGAAACATTTTGCCACTACCAGAAGCGCTGCGTCACGAGAAGATGGGAAAGAAATAGCATTGCTGCTACCAACAGAATCCGATGATCTCATAAATGATCGTAAGAAAGGCATTACTGCCCTTTTTCAGACCTCCCAGTAGATAGACACTTAGCGTGTCTCCCAGTGATGAGATACTACGTTCCCTAGTACATCAAACATCTCCTTCCCGATCCCATTCCTCTTCATTGCCCCAACATCGAATCGTATCCCCAATCTCCTGATGATTTATCCCAGCGTCTATTAGGCTGCACATTAGGCTTCAATAGATTCTCGGAGTGACTCCAAAATCCTCGATACAAGTCAAAAATAACCGTACGCTCTGGAGACGATAGCTCTGAGCGTTCCTTGCGGTAGGTGTGATTGTAAGAGCAGGGGGAAGGATGGCATTCGAAACCAGCGTAATGAGCAAGGCAAAGATCCGCCTTTGTGATCATCTTCCTGAAGTCGTTTATCTGCTTGCTCGCTGGACTATTGGTCGCTGCCGATTGTTGATGAACGTGCCTCCGGTTATTCCCATTACGCGCCGATACTTTACGACCAATTGAAAGATTGAGTAGTTGGTGAAAAGTCATCTCCAAACTCTCTTCTTTCTCTTGGGGAGTATCTGAGGAGTCATTATGAATGACGGGCTTAGAAATGAAGGAGAAGAGTGGTTCAAATATTTGTGTTGTGCTAAACCCCAGGTTCTTCATCTCGAAGCGGATTTCTCCTATTTGCAGAAGTGTTATTCGATGAACCATTGCTGGCACAGAATACTTTCGAAGCTCGGTAATATATCCAGTATCATGGCAACATGCCATCAGTACGTGGGCGCATTGGACAGTGTCAATGTTGAAGTTCAAAACATCTGTACAGTAAGGTTAGCGCTCTATGTATTTTGCGATTGTATACTTTGGCGGGACGCAATGGTCTTACCTCGAATCTTGCTATCTGCTTCTTCCTTGCCGTGTCCCACATCCACGACATCGCACATTGCAAACGCACGAGTAAAGCCGATCCAGAAACGCCGCAGATCACCAACTGTCCCAATCTTTCTTTTCGCCAAGCAAACCTTCTCTAGCGCTTCTAGGTTTGCATATGCTTTCACCTTGACCTGCACAGAGTTGGGATTGGCGACGAGTCCTGGTGTGGATACCAGGTACTCCCTGACTTTTGCCATGAACGCTTGTGCTGCCTTTGCACCTCCGATAACACCGTCCTTGAGATATTCATTATTGAACTTCCAAATTGATTAGTCTGGAGAACCGTCACTCCTTGGGGGTTTGGAAAGACTTGTCCAATACATTTCTGCATCTGCGTCGATGAGTACTAACACGAACTTCGACTTCTCCTGCAAAATATTTAGCAGAGGTCAACGCGAAGATATCACCATGTGGAATGCACTTACCACGAATGCTTTGAACTCCCGTAGCTTCAAAATCTCGTTCTCCTGCTCCATTCTCAAATTCTCTTCACTTTTCAATGACGCTTCAAGACTCTCAATTCTCTTCTGCTTGTCATCGGCGGCAGCAAGGTTGTTGCAATCTTGAATTAAACGTACGTTGTCATCAAGCAATTTCTTCATACTTGTGAGCGGATATGCTGGGGGGAATATGGGGTTTAGGGGCGTGAGGGGAGGGGGAGAAGGCAGTGGGAGGAGGATATAACTTGCCTTTATCAAGTATCTCTGTTCATACAAGACATTCTGCTCTTTACGCTCGAGTTCCGCGAATCTAGATCGATAGTCCGCCATCAGATCATCGTAAGAAGCCATTTTACGTGTTGATAACCCGAAAATTATTAGGAGAATCGCAGCAGATTGATGGGTTTGGCCGACAGGGTGTTAGATGTGGTCGATAGAATCCAGCGATATCGTTGGCGCCTTCGAACGCGTAAGGGAAGACTGAGAAACAATGTGTGGATGAGAAGGTGGTTGGATGACCTCTTCTCATCAAAATGCGAGGCCAAGATCCCTGTCGCGCGCACGTGATTTAGAGTCCAGTCGCGACCTCATCTCCAAGTTCGCTCATTGCCCTGTGCCTTTGAAACTGTAAATTTGCCCGCTGTTGCCTGGAACGATGCAGTTATCCTTTCCTATAGAAACATGAAACTACGGATCACTGCAACGGTCCAGAAATAATTAAACTGACTTGATGTTTTCATCTCGCTTATTCTTCCAGGACTATTGGCTGTATCCTCTTCAAATAAACTGCGCGAATCAGAATTTCTGTAATCTTTGATTTCCATGAAGAATATTTTCTCAATACGACATGCATAATTGAGAAAGCTATAATGAATCAAAATCCCCGGTATCAGCTTTCGTATCTGAAGTTCTCCCTCTCTTTCTGGCGGAAAATGCTTGGCTCTTCTTCACTGGCATTTTGGCTTCAGCTTTCAAAACTTCACCTGCTGGCCATTAAAGTCTGTAAAACATAGCTAAAAGGGGGACGATATAGTGAATACAGTTTTTCACGTCCAAAACACAAAAAACCCCTTAGAGATATTTGCCAATGGCTTAACTGTATAATTCGAAAAAGATTCGCTTAGGATTGACCCTAAAGTGGAGGGATATTTATCCTGAGATCTACAAGATCTCTATCTCTACTTACATGTAGATGTCTTTACTCACTGTACAAAAATGCAGAAACATGTTCTCATAGCGGTTTCTTGATTTACAGCAAATAGCGGAAGAAGCTGCAAACTAGTTCGATACCTTTGACCTGCATTTTCTGGAAAATGCTTCAAGTGACTACTTAAATACAGCCTTCTCAAATTCAACTATCTCAACTAAGTTAGAGTGGTGTATTAGTGAAAGAGAGACAGGTGGAATCAAAGTAGACAATAGAATGAAGTGGGCCATACTCTACAAAGTCGCCGTCCCAGAATCTGTCATGAGGTCTCTGCTCTTGTCTATCAACTCCTAGAAGCTCACCCACCTACAAATATCACTCAACTCCCCCTTTTACAAATTCGGTAAACGTACTGTACCTCCTTCAATGCCCAAATGCACCCTAAAGAACATCTCTACGACAACCTAGATTCCTACCCGAAACCTCTTAATGAAGTCTACGACTGAGTATTATGTCTAGTCGAGGACGAACACTTGAAAAGAATGCTTATAAACCACCGAATAAGCTTCTCTATTCTTCGCGACCTCTACGCTTCGAAGGACTAGCCAAATTCCTTCGCCATTGAAACATCTGAACGTCCGTATCTCATTATGGAATAACGAAACCAGAACCCATAAGGCAACTTCAATCTTTGTACAGGTTTGGCTACGCTTGACACTGAAACAAACTTGATTGGAGTGGAATTGAAGAACTAAATGCCCGGACTATTTGAAGACACTTCACGTGAGACAGGTGTTTTAGTCATAGATTATGTGCTTGGTCTTGCACAATCAAGCGTTATATATCGCCTGCCTGGAAGCGATGTTCCCAGAGCTCATGCACGACAATATAGGTTACATCAAACTAGGGCACATTGCAAATTAACAGAAACCTCTATCGCATATACTGTAAGAGATATGGTCGCTACTTTGTATACACCTTTTTGAGAATAATATGTCCTGCAAACGTTATATAACTAAAATGGTAACATAAACAGTTTATAATAGTCGTCAATGCATACTTCCTATTAGTCTAGGCATACTGACAGGTTCATTTCACTTATGCGAGAAGTTTAGTATATTGACTTATTATGTGGTTTTTACAGCGTAATGACTAAGTATCGTTCACCTTGGCTTCTAGAACTTGAGGGTTATCTCAAAGGAGATAAATGATAAGTATCCTCTGCTTGACTACCCCATTAAATTATGGTTAGAACACGTACTCATTCCACAAGAGATAGACGACAGGAACATCCTGACTCTGCTCATTGTGGAGAGGTTGAGAACGCTTTGGGGGGTTTTACGATGAGCTAATTCCTTTAAGACTATTTAAATATTACGCGTGTGTTTTTGCTTTTTTTTGACTACTTCTTCTGTACCTAAATCCCTCCGTAAGGTACCGAAATATGATACATGGCCATCTTCAGCGCAAAACAAAGGAAAGAAGAATAACGAACCCACATGGACATACGAGAAACGATTGATAGTAGCAATCTGAACGTAAATGTTCTCATTACCACCTTGCTGGGAAGAGGTCGGAAGAATTGGGTTGATGCGTTTGCCTCACGATGGAGAAAATGAGAGGGATGATTCTTTCGATTGGGGGTTGGAATAACAGTAGCTGCAAAAACTGAGGTGGAAAAGTGGATTGTCATCGGAGCAGATGGAGGTGGAGATTGTGTAGACTCGGTCGTTTCTGAATCCCTCCCTCATCACCATTTTCTTCTTTTTTCTTTATTTAAATCGTCTTTGATAAACACTTTGATAATAATATTTATTGATTTATTGGATGTCATACTCTATTGAGTAAAAGTAAGCTTGAGATACAACAAGTATTCAGCCTCCGCCAGCGGCCACGTGCCGTCATCATCGACTGTGCCGCACGACACTCCTTTCACCAAGCAATTGTTGCGGAGAGTTTGAATACAACCTAAGTTATCTACATTATGTCTAATAAGGATTTTGCGATCGAATATGTGTGTCAAAAAAGGATGCACCAGTCTTTCACGATTCCAGGCACCGAAAACCGCAACCCTTTGAAAGTCACTTACGCCACAGCCGGGCTGGAGAATGACGACGCTCCAACAATCGTCTTCATCTCGGGAATGTACGGAATGCGATGGATCGCTCTGCTACAACATCATATTGCACTGAAAGTTGGGGTAAGACTTGTTTGTGTAGATCGGTAAGCGATCTTTCTTGCATGTTTTTGTTACGACGAATCTAAAGTATTTCTGGCCCCCGTGTTGACCAATTCCACTCCTTGTCGAATTTTTGTTTCCTACTTTACATGATTCTCTAACTCACATTTTATATCTATAGACCTTCCTTCGGCGGGAGTACTCCTGTCCCAATTTCTGAGCGAATTTCAACTTGGTTACAAACCATCCCGCACTTGCTCTCGCATCTGAAGTGCTCTCATGTTGTTCCCATCGCAGCGTCGGCGGGGATAGTCTTCCTTCTCAATACGCTTTATCATATGCCTTTCATTCTGCCCCCTAAATCTCCATACAGCGTCATCCTCGCACCATGGGTCCATCCCAAGAATTCCAATGCTGCCATGATGTCTTTTGTTGCGTCCAACTGGATGCCGAAAGCTCTGGTTGAGAAGCATTGGGACAACGTGAGTGGATTTGTTGCGACCAAATTGCTGCCCGGTTTTGCAGCTAGCGGGGGTTTGATGGAAGGTATTGCAGCAGCGGCGGGTTCGAATTCGTCGGGGTGTCCTGGCAGTACGAAAGCGAAAAAGCAAAAACAAGATCACGATGACGAAATGACATCAATGGAGCTCTATGGAATGACCTGTGCCCAGAGGAATGAGGTAGAGAATTTGGGATTGAAGTATATGTTTGCTGAGAATACGAGTGGGGCAAATGATGAAGCGCTACTATGTCTGAGAAAAGGGAAAGAGACTGATGTTGGATGGGGAGTATGCGAGGACTATGTTGCTTTTGTTCCAAAACTGGCCGAGAAATGGAAGAAGTCATCGGGTGATGGAGAAAGTGCGAAGTTGAAATTGAGATTGCAAGTATATTATGCCGCTTCCGATGCTATGAGTGGAGAAGGTGGAAGAAAGTTTTTCGAGGAGTGCTGGAGAGAGGATAAGTGTGGGGACGCAATTGAGTTTCTGGGAAGCACAGTCCCAGATACCAGTCATGATAGTATTGGCTTTTCGGAGAATGGAGTACTGGAGAAGGTTTTCCGGGAAGCCAAAAAGGCTTTGGAAACAGTTTGATGTATGTTTTTATTTCTGATACATGTCACGTGACGAAGAATAAAGATTAGCCAATGCTCTTTGTTAAAATGTGTCTTTAGCAAAAAGAAGACTTGCCAACTCAAATACAGCAGTTGCGAAATGGCGTAGACAAGGAGACTTTGGTTCTTCCATTTTTTATCCACCAAAATAGATCTATGTTAATTAAATAGAAAAGTTACCTACACATTCTAAGTTGTGTAAGAGGCGGAGCCACTACTCTGTACACACCTCTGCTAGAACAGGGTTATTCTAGAAGTCTCACTCAACTACAATAATTATAAGAGTGACTTAGGATAATTCATATTAATATATCTTTGCAAACTTAAACTATTTAGGACAATTAAGTTAATTGTTTTAGAAAGTTTGGTATAATAGGTTCTTGGGGTGACCGCAGAGTAATAACTATATATCTTACCTACGTTAATAGTATCTTTCTCTCCTGTGAGTTCAATATTACCTATTTGTAGGTATCGCCTCTGTCTTTACTTAATATCCTCTTTGAAGTGGTCTTTTGTCTGTTTGTACCGGATTTATGTAGTAGCAGTGGTATAATATTGTAGCCACAAAGCTTGTTTGTTAAGGGGCTCATCTTCTTTGTGGAGTAGATTGGTTGTAAAGGATTTATAATAGTGATTTGGAATTTACAGAACTCATGCTAAGAAGTTTAAATACAGCAAGCTACACCAACTTCGTTAAACTGAATTAGACAACTCGTAGTTTCTCTTGTGACAAGACAGACTCATAAGACAATTAAATAATCCAGCTGCTTATACTGAATTGGTCTGCCAACAGTTCACTATAAGTATACTTAGAAGCTAGTATTGACCAGTCTATGTATTCTCAAACGACATACTACAACATCGTCATCTTGGTAAACCTACATAGAGTCCTTCGTTAAGTGAACGAAAAGATAAACCTTAATATCAACTTCTCTTCTTGCACATACTACCAGCTGAGCCACGACAAAAGAGTTCTCCTTTTAATTCCATCTCTTTTGTTGCGATTACTTTCACTAACCTCATAGTAATCTATAATGCTTTGTGGTATTGACTTCGCTTTACTATGCCCAGTGAATGTTGTTCACGAAGCTATCAATATAGCTATCAGGGAACCCCATTTTAGTAGACATTCCTATAGGCACGTTCAGATGCAGAGAGAGAGAAAACGCGTCAGATGGCAGACGCGTAGTAGATATAGCTTGAATGCATTGACCACAATGCACATGATATAGAGCCTGCTACTTGCCTTGTTCTACTCCATCATCGCACCAAAACATCATTCCATCAAAACATCATCCCGAAGCAAAATGGATTCCCAACCCCAACAAGCTAAATATACCTTCGTAAACCAACAGTCCCAGCACCCCCTCGGAAACTCCGCAAAACCAAAAGTAAAGAGGAATCAAGGGCCGCTTTGGACTGATAATGAAGCCCAGCTTCTGACCGACGAGGTGCAAAAGAAGCTTGTCAACGAAGACTACCGATGGCTTGATATCTGTGACACGATGAGTAGGGAAATGGCTCTCCGCCTTGGAAAGGCCTCTCGCAAGTACACAGAATCCTCCATCAAGAGTAAGTACAGAATCATGAAGCGTCGTGGCCTCGACAAATCTGGAAATGCTTCCAAAAGGCAAAAGAAGGACGCAGGCAAAGGCCTTCAGTCCGTCAAACAAGGAGCTCCGAACGCCTCAGATGCGGATGCGCTTCCCCGAGGATCTGAAAATCATCTTGCGTATTCTATCGATGAACAACTACAAAAGGAAGGATTTGAGATGGAAGGACTTGAATTTGAAAACCAAGATATGGAACAAGCTACCCCTACGTTGAGTCCTGGTACAATATATGAGCGTTCCGAAAACCCACAGGTCGGATTTGAGGTTGGCAATTCCCGAATACCAACTCCAAGTGTTCCTCAACATTTTGGACAATACACCAGTAATGAGGTTTACCAAGCTGAGCATGGACATACACATAGCAATGGTTCCGCCCTTGAAGTGCTGGACGGACATCATAATCAAAATCATACCATTAATTCCTTTCGAGGCCATGTCTATCACAGTCCGACTCCTGGGAACACCCTACGGTCACCAAATCACGAACCGGTTCCTTCGCCTACAGAGCCTCTTGGACTAAACCCGGGATTACAGGAAGGATGCGATATCAGAACAGCAGATCACAGAGTCTGGGGCATGACCGAGCAAACCGAAGAGGAGTTTCTTCAGACTCTTGAGGAATTACAGAAATGGCAGCAAGCATATTTGGCAGAGGAGAATATATTTGGAGAAAACGGCGAATTCTAAGTTGATGTTGGTTATATATTGAAAGATCTGTGAGGGTAGAGTGAGACAGGATATGATATTTTATTTGTGGATATTTTTGTGGATCTGAGTCAGGAGTATTTAGCATTTAATGTACCAGAGTTCATCTTTCTCCTTGAGCCTATTTCGTCGTTCGTGTTCGACTAAAGTCTCTTGTATGCTAGTTAGTCTCCTGGAACTATGTTTGGAACCGTTACGAAAGAGGTGAAGTATAAAACCCATTTACATAATGATGCAGGGCTGAAGATATTCTTCAACTTATTAATCCCAGCGTATAAGATGAGTAGAGTAGAGTGGTAGCACCTGCTCTGCTCTACTCAAGCGCTTAGAAGCCCTTCTCAACTCAACTAAAGTACTTCGCGCCAATTACTTTAGTAACATGAGTAGTTCGGGGTATATCCGGGCCAAGTCATCGTAGCGAGCCCTAGGCGACCGGGGATTACACCTGCCGGCCGGTCCGCCCACTCGAAATTAGCCGAGTCAAGCGCTCCTAGCGAATAATTATGTAGCAAGGGAGTTGTATATATTCTATCCAAGAATAGGAACAGGCTATCATGGGAGACCTTTTGAGGCGATAGCAAGCTTGAAAAGCTAGGGGATTTTGGTGGGGTTTTGTCGATAAGGAGGAGGAACAGATTGGAAGTGGACTATCTTTTAAGAATAATTCTCTTGTACTTTACTTACGTTTTAACTTACTTACTTAAGTAGTACTTAAGCAGTCATGCCAAGTACTTACTATTAGTTAAGTAGTGAAATTAACTACTTAAATCTACTCTACTTAGGTAGTACTTAAGTTACTAATTAAGTGGTTGATTAGCCTGTTTATACGATGGTTAAGTGAATCTACTTTGAGTCTAGATTGTATTGCTTTCTCAACATGTATGCTTTACAAATCTCTGTATCGGTACAAGCATCCTAGTATATAAGTTTGGGGTGCTGATATTCAAAGTATTTCCACTCCGCCGTCCTTATTAAGATTATCGGGGTATCTTGGACTCTGTGAAATGTATACTAAGTTATCTAACCCAGCAAAATTTCAATTCATGGGACTCGAATATGATAAAATATTTCAGTATTTGATCTCAAAAATGTAGACAGACTGAGATTCTGGTTTAGAATTGTCGGTATATAATTCTGGTGAATAGCACCTTGTACGAGAGCCTGGTGGATCTATATGCTTTAGGTCATGTGAGTGGCTTGCCACTCACATACTTAAGCTTGTAGGGTACCACCTCTCTTTACCTTTACTCTTCATACACGAATGAATACAAAGAGAGATTATGTTTGTGTATCACCCTTTACGACAACCAGGTCGTACCAACAAGAATAGAGTTCTATACGAAATGAACGTGGAAAAGGAGTCATAATTTCGTATACATCCTAGTAAAATAGTAGTATTATGATCTAGAGTACCTCGCTACTAAGAAAGGTACTGTCTATAACTCCAGGCATGGTGTTCGTTAGTTATACGTGATATTAGGTCTTGGAACTGGTTAAACTTCGTTTTTGAAGTTATAAATATACCGGGAAGATGTGCGTAAGAATTTGTTACTTTAGTAAGCGAGTATTTAGAAATTACTACTATAAGGATTACAGGATCAAAAGATTTCACATGCTTCACAAAGTCTTTCTATAAGGCACAGATTTTATATTATTTAAGGGGCTACCTTAGAGTGGAAAGCGGAGGTTTTCAGATAGTCTAGAGACTCTCGAAAGAGACTTTTATATAGAATCTAGTCCTAGGAAAAAACTCGCCGGGTAATAGAACAAGGGCGGTCTAAGAATAGTCTTAAATATAAGATAGTTTAATAATTAGATAGTTAATTAAATAAATAGTTTACTAAATAAGACACTTCTATATCGCGTTCCGAGACCGTTCAAGACTATCCCAAAGCGTTCTCGGAGCGTCTAAAATCCTACTCTTAGGTATATATATAATTAAGTAAGTAGGGTACGCTTAGGTCTATGCCTAAGCGTCTACCGGTATATTCCCCGCGTATAGTATTCTATCTTTTAATACCTATAGATAGTACTATATAAGAGGCCGCCTATTATACGCGCTTATTAAATTTCGCTAAATTAACTAAATTTAACACTTATATTTTTATAGTATTAGGGTTAAGCGTATAGGAGTACTACCGAGTACGTAATATAGCCTATACGCTATAGCTCTATGTCACGAATCACGTGTTCACGTGATACTTGTCATAATAAGAGGCGCAACCCTCGACAGGCACATTCAGATTTCTTATAGCAAAT